TTGGGGAATTTTTTGGTGGAAGAATTGTGGATTTTTGGGGGGAAAAATGGGGATTTTGGGGGGGAAAAATTGAGGATTTTGGGGGAAAAAAAGAGGATTTTTTTAGGGGAAAAAATGGGATTTTTTGGGTGGAAAAATTGGGGATTTTTTGGGGGAAAAATGGGATTTTTTTGGGGATTTTTTGGTGGAAAAATTGGGAATTTGGGGGGAAAAATTGGGGTTTTTTGGGGAATTTTTCAGTGGAAGAATTGGGGATTTTGGGGGAAAAAATGAGGATTTTTTAGGAGAAAAAAATGGGATTTTTTGGGGGGGAAAAATTGGGGATTTTGGGGAAAAAATTGAGGATTTTGGGGGATAAAAATGGGAATTTTTGTGGAAAAAAAATGGGATTCTTTTGGGTGGAAAAATTGGGGATTTTGGGGAGAAAAATAAGATTTTTTTTAGGGGTAAAGTGGGATTTTTTTGGGGAATTTTTTGGGTGGAAAAATTGGGGATTTTGGACAGAAAAAATGAGGATTTTTTAGGGTAAAAATGGGATTTTTTTTGAGATTCTTTGGGTGGAAAAATTGGGGATTTTGGGGTAAAAAAATGAACATTTTTTAGGGGGAAAATGGGATTTTTTTGGGGAAAATTTGATTTTTTTGGAGTTTTTTTGGGGGGAAAAATTGGGGATTTTTGGGGAAAAAAAATGGGATTTTTTTCGAGGGAAAAATAGGGGATTTTGAGGAAAAAATTTAGGATTTTTTTAGGGGAGAAAATGAGAATTTTTGGGGGGAATTTTTGGCAGAAAAACTGGGAAAAAATTGGGAATTTTGAATAAAAAAAATGAGGATTTTTTAGGAAAAAAAATGGGATTTTTGGGGGGAAAAATTGGGGATTTTAGGGTAAAAAAAAGGATTTTTTTAGGGGAAAAAATGGGGGGTTTGGGGGGATTTTTTTTGCGGGAAAATTGGGGAAAAAAGCGGAAATTTTGGGGGAAAAAATCAGAATTTTTTGTGGAATTAGAGATTTAATTTTGGGGGTTTTTAATGATTTTTATTGGGCATTTTTTGAGGTAAAATTGGGGAATTTTGGGTTAAAAAATGGGAATTTTGGGTTAAAAAAACCGCTGAAAATCGGATTAAAGACGGGAAAGTTCGGAGGGGAAAGATTTTGGGTGGAAATCGGGAGGAAAATGCGAGAATTTGGGTCAAAATCGGGAAAATTCCGAGTTAAAAATTGGAAAAAAAAATAGAAACCGGGAGGAAAAAATCGGAATTTGAAGGAAATGAAGTGAAAAAATTGAATTTTTGGGGTCCTGGAGATAATTTAGAGGATTCTGACTGGGTTTGGGGGGTTAAAAGGGAATTTTTTGGGTGGAAAAAATGAAATTTTGGTGGAAAAAAATGGAATTTTCGCGGTTTTAAAGCGTTAGAGCCCCTTCGGGGTAAATTCTGGCTTCTCATTGGCTGATGAGCCTGTCAATCATCGCGTAGCGCGTTGCCATTGGCTGATCATAGGGCGGGACGCGCGGTTTCCCGCCTTTCTCATCCCATTGGTCAGCGTTCTGTGATTCCGCGCGTTGATTGGCTCTTGAGCCCGTCAATCATTTCCCCCGCCCTATGGGCGGGCATATGTACGCGCTTCTCGCGCTCTGATTGGTCGAGGCTTCGGGCGCCTCGCTCCCATTGGCTGCCGAGTCCTCCCCTCACGCTCATTTCCATCATGGCGGCGGGCGAGGCGGTCGCGTTGCTGGAGGCGCTGCGGGCTCAGGTGAGACCCCAAAATCTCAACAAAAAAACCCCAAAATTGGACGAAATTGCCCCAAAATGACGCTCCGGGGTCTCCGCAGGCGGCGGAAGTGGCGGCGCACGGGCGGGAAATGCTGCGGAGAGTGAGGGGAGGACGGCTCGACACCAAGGAGGTACCGGAGGGGCGGGAATTTGGGAAAATCCTGAGGGGAAATTGGGGAATTTTGGGGGGAATTTTGGGATCTCTGAGGGAATTTGGGGTCCCTGAGGGGAATTTTGGGGATCCCGAGGATATTTTTGGGGATTTTGAGGGGATTTAAGGGAATTTTGACGGGATTTTGGGATTCCTGAGGGAATTTTGACGGGATTTTGGGATTCCTGAGGGAAATTTGAGGGAATTTTGGGATTCCTGAGGGAATTTTGGGCGGAATTTTGAAATCCTGAGGGAATTTTGGGGTCCCTGAGGGGAATTTTGGGGATCCCGAGGGGAATTTTGAGGGAATTTTGGGATTCCTGAGGGAAATTTGGGATCCCTGAGGGGATTTGGGGGATCCTGAGGGAATTTCGGGGTCCCTGAGGGAATTTTGGGATCTCTGAGGGGAATTCGTGGGATTTTGGGGGAAATTTTGGGATTCCTGAGGGGAATTTTGGGTTCTTTAAGGGGTTTTGGGGATCCCTGAGGAGATTTTGGGGGATTTTGTGGGGATTTAAAGGAATTTTGAGGGGAATTTTGGGATTCCTGAGGGAAAATTGGGATCTCTGAGGGGAATTTGAGGGAATTTTGGAATTCCTGAGGGGAATTTGGGGTCCCTGATGGGATTTTTGGGGATTTTGAGGAAATTTAAGGGAATTTTGAGGGAATTTTGGGATTTTTGAGGGAATTTTGGGCGGAATTTTGAAATCCTGAGGGAATTTTGGGGTCCCTGAGGGGAATTTTGGGGATCCCGAGGGGTTTTTTGGGGATTTTGAGGGGATTTAAGGGAATTTTAAGGGGATTTTGGTGATCCTGAGGGAATTTTGGGATTCCTGAGGGAATTTTGGGGGATCCTGAGGGGAATTTTGGAATCTTGAGGGGATTTGAGGGAATTTTAAAGGGATTCGGGGGATCCTGAGGGGAATTTTGGGGATTTTGAGGGAATTTAAGGGAATTTTGAGGGAATTTTGGGATTCCTGAGGGGATTTTGAAGGAATTTTGGGATTTTTGAGGGAATTTTGGGCGGAATTTTAAAATCCTGAGGGAATTTTGGGGATCCTGAGGGGATTTTGGGGTGAATTTGGGGGGATTTTGGGTTGGTTTTGGGGAATTTTGGGGTCCAATTTTGAGCGTTTTTTGGGACTTTTTTAGGGCAATTTTTGGGGATTTTGGGGGTCAAATTTTGGGGGTTTTTTTTGGCGATTTTTGAGGATTTGGGGTGGATTTTGGGGTCCAATTTTGAGCATTTTTTTGGGGCGGTTTTTGGGGATTTTGGGATAAAATTTTGGGATTTTTTTGGGGATTTTTTTTGGGCGATTTTTGGGATTTGGAGTCAAATTTCGGGATGTTTTTTGGGGTGATTTTTAGGGATTTTGGGGTGGTTTTGGGGCAGTTTTTTTGAATTTTGGGGTCAAATTTTGGCATTTTTTGGGGTGATTTCTGGGGATTTTAGGGTCAAAATTTGGGATTTTTTTTGGTGCCATTTCTGGGGATTTTTGGGATTTTTTGGGGGGAATTTCCGGGAATTTTTGGGATTTTTTTGGGGCAATTCCTGGGTATTTTGGGTATTTTTTTGTGGCGATTTCGGGCATTTTTTTGGGGCAATTTCCAGGAATTTTGGGTAATTTTTTGGGGCGAATTCCGGGAATTTTGGGTAATTTTTTGGGGCAATTTCTGGGTATTTTGGGTATTTTTTCGGGACGAATTCAAGCATTTTTTTGGGGCAATTTCTGGGTATTTTGGGCATTTTTTGGGGGCCATTTCCGGGTATTTTGTGGTGATTTTTCCGGGGTAACTCTGTGCTACTCCCTGGATATTTTTGGGGTGAAACTGGGCAGTTTTGGGGTTCCCTTTCCCCCTTGCAGGGCCTGTCCCTGCTGGAGCTGCGCTCGGGGTCCCTCCTGAGCTACCTGCAGGACCTGGCCCTGCTCGTCTGCGCCAAGGCCCGGGGGGGGTCCCT